ACTTCCTAAACACCATGCCTCTGGAAACTCTATGAACTTTGATAAGTGACGATAGTTATAGAAAGGCTTCATGCTTTTTGTTCATAGGGTTGCTATGAGTCATGCTTGACTCGACAGCAATCATCAACAACAACAACAGTGTTTAAAGATAGAACATAGTGGAGCAATAGGCTCAAAGTTATGAGGGAAAGAATTGGTGACTTTGTTGAGATGAAAAGAAGTTCAAGATGCACTGAAGGCACTGGCAAAAAATAAGGTCCCATATTATTTATGGAATTTATTGAATCAATTGATATATCCCAACAAATAGATGTAACCTTAGACAGGCTCACTAGACTATGCCAAGAAATTTGGAAGCGCCACTGACTGGAAGATAATGGTATTTGTTTCCATTCCCACCCCAAAAAAGTGATTCAATAAAATGTGGAAATTATTGAAAGATTTAATTAATATCACATGCAAGAAAACTGCTAGAAACTCAAGTTGGATTCAGAAGAAGCCATGTGGAAAGGAAGATATCACTGCTGGACTCAGCGATCTTGATTGAAAGCAGAGGATACTGGAAAGATGTTTACTTGTGTTTTATTGACTATAGAAAGGCATTTGATTGTGTGGATCATAACAAATTATGGTTAACACTGAGAAAAATGGATGTCCCAGAATACTTAATTGTGCTCATCCAAAACTTATACATAGACCAAGAAGGAGTTATCTGAACAGAACAAGGGAACCCTTACACTGTTTAAAATTAAGAAGTGTGAGTCATAGCTTTATCCTTTCACTATACCTATCCAACCTGTTTGAGAAGCTGAACCATATGAAGAAGACTGTGGCATCAGGATTGAAGGAAGACTTATCAACAACCTGCATTATGCAGATTACATAATCATGCTTGCTGAATGTGAACAGTATTTGAAACACTTGCTACAGATGATCAAAGACAACAGCCTCCAATATGGATTACATCTCAACATCAAGAAAACAAAAATCTTCACCACTAAACCAATAGGCAACATCATGGTAGATGGAGAGAAGAAATTGTCAACAATTTCATTTTACTTGGGTCCACAATCAATACTCATCATCACAGAAGTCAAGAAATCAAGAGGGCTACTTAGGGGAAATGTTCTGTCAAGGACCTCTTTAGAGTGCTAAAGAGCAAGGATGTGAGTTTAAAAACTTAGGTATGCTTCATCCAAGCTGTATGTTTCCAACTGCTTTATATGCATCAGAAATTTATACAATTAATAAGTATGGTAGAAGAACTGATGATTAAGAACTGTGGTGTTGGGGAAGAGTACTGAATTATCTCATGGACTGCCAAAAGAACAAGCACATCTGTCTTGGAGGAAGTGAAACCAAGGTGCTCCTTAGAGGCAAGGATAATGAAACTTTTGTCTCACATACTTTGGTCATGTTGCCAGAAGGGTCCAGTCCTTGGAAAAGGACATCATGCTAGGAAAGGTGGAAGGTCAGAGTAGGAGAGGAAGACCTTCAAGAAGATGAACTGACAGTGACCATAACTATGGGCTCAAGCATATCAGAGACCATGTGGATGGGCAGGATAGGGCAGGGGTCAGGTAAGCTGTTCAAAAGGTGCCTATGAATGGTATTCAGCTCACTGGCCCTAAAAACAACAACACTACACCAGAGGAAAATTCTTAACATTGTTATGTGCCATTGTGTCAACTCTGATTCATAGCAATCCTATGAACAATGGCTCTGAACTTTGTCCTATGCCAAGACAACCTCACCGTCTCTGACACATCCAACCCACTGTCACAGCCACTGTGCCAGTGCATCTTATCCAAGGTCTTCTCCTGTGCTGACCCTCTACCCTTCCAAGCATTATATCCTTCTCCAAATGCTGGTCTCTCCTGGCAACAAGCCCAAAGTATGTGAGACAGAGCTTCAAAATCCTTGCCTCCTAGGAGCAAATTGCTTTCACCCTCTCCAGGACACACCTGTTGATATAGCCTAGCAAATACATACATATTTCTTAAAATCAACATAATAGTCTAGTGAAGGAAAAGTGTAATGTGCAGGTCAGATATTTTCATTAGTTAAGCTAAAGTAGTGTATTTAAGACTGCAGGGGCTAATTTTTAGTTTAAGAAACCATGAGGATGGCACAGAATAGGCAAGATTCAGATCTGCTGTTCATAGTATCACTATGAATCATAGCTGACTCAACAGCATCTAATAACAATAACAACAATTCAGTCCTTAGGAAGTTGTGCTCAAATTCACCAAAGGCTCCATGGGGAAAAAACAGGCAGTCTCTTCCAATGTGTTTAACTAAGAAACTCAATGTAGGGTCAGAGATGAGTTGACAATGAGTGAGTGACTCGGTCATTACCTGCAATGTTGTTGTTAGGGGTCATCAAGTTGACTAAGATTCATAGTATGAACATAGATTCACTGTATGAACAAAAGATCAAAACCTTGCTCTGTCTTGCACCAACTTCACAATCTCCATGATGCTCAAGCCTACTGTTATAGTTACTGTGTTAGTTCACCTATATGAGTCTTCCTTTCTTTCACTGACCTACTTTTCCAAGCATGGTGTCTTCTTCCAAGGTCTGGCACTTCATATACATGTAAAATTTGAACAATGAATGAGGAAAACAGAAGTGATGGGAGAGATGTTGGCAAAGAATATGAAATATTTCATGGACCACCCAAAAAACCCCAACAAATCAGTCTTAGAGGAAGAACATCAAGGGTGCTCCTTAAATGCAAGGATGGTTAAGACTTTGTCTCACGCACTTTGGGCATGTTGTTAGGAGGGACCAGTCCCTGGAAAAGGACAGTATGCTAGGAAAAGCAGAGGGTCAATAGAGGAGATTGAGCCATTCAACAAGACAGAATGACACTGTGACCGCACAGGAGAATGAGGATGGTGCAGCCTAGAATCAGATGTGGTAGTCAGGGTTGCTACTGAGTTTCAGCTGACTCCATGGCACCTAACAACAACATAACAATCCAGGCCATTTGGTGAGAATTATAAAGACAATGCTAGAAAAGCTGCCTTAGGTAATCCATTGAGCTGCACCTAATGAACCATGATCCAGCAAGCACTGCCAGAGTCCAGTGGGTCAAGTCACGTGGCTGCCACCTCAGCCAAGGACGAAGGCCACATGGATGAGGGAGGCAGTGGAGAGTGTGCCCGTCGATGCAAGAGTGAACATACACAACAGTACAGAAGCCAAAGGGCAGCAGCCAAAGAGATAGGATGGGTGCACTGGAATCTTCTCAGTGTCTGAGTCTTCTCCTCCGTGTTGGCCTGGGTAATCTGACCCTGTACCACAATGGAATCTCACTTTGGTCCTACCTCTGGATATAAAGAGCCTGTGGAGTGGGAAACTCTCCCAGACTAAAGTAAGATTGGTACAACCCCCTGAAGAAGGAAATTGTGTGGTGACCAGGAGGAAGATTCATTAATAATTTGCATTATGCAGATGACACAACTCGCTCACTAAAAGTGAGGACATGGAAGATCAAGAATCATAGCCTTTCCTCTGGACTGCATCTCAATATCAAGAAAACAAAAAATCGTTACTACTTGACCAAGAGGTAGCATCATGACAGATGGAGAAAAGATTGAAATTGTCAATTATTTCATCTTACTTGGATTCACAGTCAACGTCCTTGGTACCAGCAGTCAATAAATCAAAAGACAAATTGCATTGGGGAAAAAAAGTCTTCTGTTAGTGACATATCTGGACTACTAAATAGCAGTGATGTCAGTTTAAAGACTAAAGTACACCTGACTCACACCATGGTCTTTACTTGCTATGCATCTTAAAGTTGGACAATTACTAATGATGAGATAAGAATTGATGCCTTTATGAACTCTGTAAGCAAACCAATAGAAAATAAAAATGACAGAATTGATGCCTTTGAGCTGTGATGTTGGAGAAGAGTACTGGATATCCCATGGACTGCCAAGAGAACAAATAGGTTTGTCCTGGGGAAGGGGAAACAAACTAGTATGCTTCTTGTAGTCAGGGAGAGTGAAACTCCATCTCACATACTCTGACCATGTTGTGAGGAGGTCCCAGTACTTGAAAAAGGACATCATGTAAGAGAAAAAGGCCCTCAACAACATGGATTAATACAGTGACTGTCACAATTGGCTTGAATGTGTTTGAGATAGTGAGGCTGGCACATGATAGGGCAAGGTTCAGAGCCGTTGTTCATAGGATCGCTATGTAGTCAACTTGATGGCACAAAACAACAAACAAATGGTCTAGAGTTGTTTTAAAAGAACAACTGGTGGCAAAGTCCCTAACCTGTTAGTCTGCTAACCGAAAGGTCAGTGACTCAAACCTACCAATAGCTCGAAGAGAGAACGTCTCGGGTCCCTGGGAGTCAGAAATAGCCTCCTAGCAGAGTTTAAGTTTGGGAGTCATTTCAGTCGTGTCGAGTGCACCTACTCCATGTCGGGAACCCAGCTTTTCACTCATTCATCCATCCTATGCAATTTCGCGCTGTCCTGCGTTTCCTCGCCTGACTGTCCCTCGGCCAAATTCCTTGTGCAAGGAAAGGACCAGCCCTCCTCAACTCACCTGTACGAGATGACCTGCAGCAAGAGCTGCTGCGAGAGTCCTCACTGAGCCAAGAGAGCCACGCTCCGCCCACAGACCTCATCACGTGACAAGATGCGCTGCTCCGCCTCCCACCACATATCTCGCTTCTGATTGGCCTACTCTGTTTTCTCATTTCCGGCCCGTGGTCCAAACAAAAGCCTGTCTTTCGCGAATCCCCTTCCTGGGAGGGGCTGACACCCACACCCAAAGAGAGCAAAACCGGCAGGAACTTGGCCTTCGGGTGGCGCACCCGGGTCACGGGGAGAGCCGAGCGGGGCCGACAAGAGCCGAACACTGCCGGAGAGCCTCCGAGGCGGCGGGCAGGGCCGGAAGCGGAGCCGAGCGTGGCCGGAAGGAGCCGAACCCGCCCGAAGTCAGCAGGGAGTTAGGGCCAGGCACTGCCCGAGTTATGGCGGCGGATTTGACGGCTGTGGCCAGAGGCGGGGACCTCGGGGGCTGCCCGGCCAGCGACAGCTTGAAGCTGTCCAAGTGCCCGGACGCAGCCCCGATCCGGCGGCGCACTTCATCGCTGTCACGGGATGCGGAACGCCGAGCCCACCAGTGGTGCCGGGAGTACCTGGGCGGAGCCTGGCGCCGGGTGCGGCCGGAGGAGCTGAGGGTGCACCCCGTGAGGTGGGGGATCAGGGGTCAGCGCCTGCTGCGCACGATCGAGGGCACGCCCAGGCCCTCCGGACACCCACTGTCCATGCTAGACCCGTGTGCGTGCGCCTGGGGAGGGCCACAGAAGGGACCTTTGGGACCTGTGACCTGGGAGGATGGCTGGGTCCGAGGGCAGCGAGAAGGGGCGGAGGACCCAGGCAGACAGGGGTCCAGGGCGCAAGGTCGCTGCAGCACCCGCAAGCTGAGCACGCTCCTGTGGACCTGCAGTGGTGGCCTCAGTAACCTGCTCTTCCGCTGCTCACTTCCCGACCACTTGCCCAGTCTTGGCACGGAACCCAGGGAGGTGCTACTTCGGCTGTACGGGGCCATCCTGCAGGTGAGGAGGGCGAGAGGGCAGCGGCCAGTGGCGCCAGGACCCTCACGTGGATGTGCTGCCCACTGCACAGGCTGTCCTCACCTGTGCTGGCCGCACTCTGCCCTCTGCTGTCACTCTTCCTTCAGGGTGTGGACTCCTTGGTCCTTGAAAGTGTGATGTTCGCCATCCTCGCTGAGCGATCACTGGGGCCCCAGCTCTATGGTGTCTTCCCTGAAGGCCGTCTGGAACAGTACATTCCAGTACGAGCTCCCTGACCTCCCTGAAGCATCTGCCCAGACCCTTCCCCTCCCTCCAGTCTATTTTCCCCTCCCTCAGCCCCAGGTAGGGAATTCAACCCCCCCACCAGACCCTGACCTCCCCCAGCCCCCATCCCATCCCCCTCCCTCCCCAGTCCCCTCATCACCCTGATAGGTTCCTGGGTGCAGAGTCGGACCCTGAAAACTCAGGAGCTTCGAGAGCCAGTGCTGTCAGCAGCCATTGCCACCAAGATGGCCCAGTTCCACGGCATGGAGATGCCTTTCACCAAAGAGCCTCGCTGGCTGTTTGGGACCATGGAGAGGTGAGCCAGCCCCAGGTCCCAGGGCTTTCTCATAGGCTCTGACTGACAGCCCACAGGGTAAGATTCCACCTGTTAGATGAATCAAAGCAAGACCCAGAAGCCAGGGCCTGGAGGTTAGGGAGGTGTGGAGTGCTTGGGGGCAGCAGAGGAAACAAACCCTATTCTCTGGGCTTCAGGTACCTCCAGCAGATCCAGGACCTGCCCCCTGCAGACCTCCCTCAGATGAACCTGCTGGACATTCACAACCTGAAGGAAGAGATGAGCAGCCTTAGGTGAGGTTTCCAGGTCCCCCTGAGATATGCCGAGGGTGACGCTCTGGGCTTGACCACCAGCTAGCTCTAGCTTTCTGGCCACTGTTAGTCAGAACCTTTGTCACCATTTTCCCACAGGAAGCTGCTGGACTCCACTCCATCACCAGTGGTCTTCTGCCACAATGACATCCAGGAAGGTAAAAAAGTGTATCTGCGTCTGCCTGACCCTGAGGTGAAGGCCAGAGGGCCCGAGAGTGACCAAAACCCACCGCATCCCCCTAGGAAACATCTTGCTGCTCTCAGAGCCAGAAAATGCAGACAGTCTCATGCTTGTGGACTTTGAGTACAGCAGTTACAATTACAGGTGCGGGCTGTTCCCAGGCTGTTCCCTGCCCTGCACCCCTGCTGCAGGCTGAGTGTCCTCCTCCCTTCCAGGGGCTTTGACATTGGGAACCATTTCTGCGAGTGGGTTTACGATTACACTCATGAGGAGTGGCCTTTCTACACAGCGAAGCCAGCAGACTACCCATCCAGGGCACAGCAGGTGTGGGGTGGGGAGGAAGGGGGAAGGGCACCAAGGGTGTTGATTGTAGGCTCACCGTGGCTGTTGATTTCAGCTCCACTTTATTCGCCATTACCTAGCAGAGGTGAAGCAAGGTGAGACTCCTTCCCACGAGGAACAGAGGAAGCAAGAAGATGACTTACTGGTGGAAGTCAACCGGTGAGGGATAAGGGCAGGGGAACAGAGGAGAAGGGAGCAGAGCAGAAGAAGTAGGGGGCAGATGGGTAAGAGGAGGAGGCGACAAGGAGCTGAGAAGGGCCAAAGAGAGGTGGGCAGAAGAGAAGAGAGAATGGGGTGCAAAGGAAAAGGATGCAGAGGAGAGGAGGGGGAGAAGAGAAGGGAGCAGAGGGGGCAAAGGAGAAGGAGCAGAGGAGACAGGAGCAGAGCAGAAGAGTGAGGAGCAGAGAAGGGAGCGAAGGGGTACAAAAGAGGAGTAGAGGGGAGAGTAGAGGAGTGAGGGGGAAAGGAGAGGGGTTCAGGAGAAGGGGCAGACATGAGGAGGGGCTGAGGAGCCACAAGAGTGGCCAGGGAGTGAGGAAGCAGTCTGGAGTTGGAGCCAGGACAAAGGTGCTAGGGCAGTAGGGAGGGGTTAGAGCAGCAGCCAGGGGATGCAGTTCCTACACTGGCGTTATTGCCCGCCCTTAGGTATGCACTGGCTTCTCACTTCTTCTGGGGTCTCTGGTCCATCCTCCAGGCGTCCATGTCCACCATCGAGTTTGGGTACTTGGTAAGTAAACCAGAAGATGGGTGTGTCAGGAGCGGCTGGAGTCGGGGGACAGAGCACCTTCCAAAACCTAGTGGCTGGTATGGTCTTTGAGGGCTGGAAGCTGGCCTGCACTGCTCACAGGGCATCCGTTCCTTCCTAGGAGTATGCTCAGTCTCGATTCCAGTTCTACTTCCAGCAAAAGAGGCAGCTGAGTAGTGTCCACCCCCAGCCCTGATCTCTGCCGGATTCCTCAGGGCCTCCAGGGCTGGACCTTGGAGGGCAGCCCAGACACCGGTGCTGAGCTCCACGGGGAGATGGCTGACCTGGTGTGTCCTTGTGCACAATGGCAGGAAGCCCTGGGCTGTGTACCTTCAGACAATAAACTTGTTCAAAAGTAAAAATCTCCTCTTCTTTCTGGGTAACCTGGCCTTGCTGCCAGGAGGCAGTAGGAAGTCCTTGTACAGTGACACACACACACACACACACCACACACACACACCCCTTGTCACAGTGACACACACATACACGTCCCCCCAGTCCCAGTCTCACACATATGCACACAATTGCAAAAGGGCTTGGCAACGCCTTGGACACAGGTGATTGCGAGGGTTTCTCATCAGGAACTCCAGGATTTGTGCTCCAGGTGTCCGGAGAGGTAAGTCTTGCTAGGACCCACAGGGAGGTGGGGAGAGTGGTGCTCTGCGGTGGCCCAGTTGACACAAGCCCCACCTTTCCCCTACATCTGGCTATTTTTAGCTGCAATGCACCACACTCACGTGAGACCTTGCCCCCCTCCCCCTGGGGCCTCCGAGCAACCTTGAACTTGCAGGGAACCAGCTCCTAGACCTGACTCCTGACGCCTGTCTGCCTGGGTAGGGGGTTCCTGTTCCAGCCTGCATCTGTTTACCGACCCCAATTTGGGAGTGAGTGTCAGGTTCCCGGTGAGGGCGGGGCGGGGTGGCTAGGCCTGAAGGACGTGGGGACACGGGCCAGCAGCGCCCTGCAAACCAGAGCTAATCTGAGCCGAGCTGTGAGTAGGGGAGCCTGGGCCTGGCGGGCATGGGGACTCTGAGGGTAGGAGGGGTTCCTGCCCACAGGCTGGGAGCACCGCATGCACCTCGTGCCCACAGCCCCCCTTCCAGGACCTGCCTGGCCCCTCCCTGTGCACCCTGGCTCGAGGCCCCTTTCTCGGGCCCCCATTGCTGAGGGCTCCTCGAGCTCACAGCCCGACCCCTTCTCGACTCGCTGCCCTTGTGGCAGAGCCCACTGGCAACACCGGACGGCAGGGTTCGGAGGCCGTTATCCCCGGGGTGGGCTGGGGTGCGGGAACGCTGAGGTCGGCAGGGCAGGGGTGGGGGGCTACCGGGGCGGGGCCTCGCTCACTCTGCAGGACCGACAGGGTGGAGCCGGAGCCTGAGCCGGCCCGCGCACCCCCTGCCCCACGCCCAGGTGCTGCCCGACCCTCAGGATGGCGGAAGCGCACCAGGCTGTGGCCTTCCAGTTCACAGTGACCCCAGAGGGGGTGGACTTCCGGCTCAGTCGGGAGGCCCTGAAACACATCTACCTGTCTGGCATCAATTCCTGGAAGAAGCGCCTGATTCGGATCAAGGTGGGTGCAGGGCAGCCTTAAGGGGAAGGCGCCGGCAGGTGTCCCCGCCACAGACTCTGGCAGGCAGCCAAGCCCCACAACTTGACCTAAGCCTATTGGTGTGAACACCAGAGGGGTCAGGAAGGGTGGGTGGGGCACAGGCAGAAAATGGTCCTGGGGAGGACAGCGAGTGCTGGAGGTGTGCAGGCACATAGAAAACCAGAAGATCAGTCAGAAGTACCCCTCAGGGGTGGAGGTGCTGCAGGAGGACTAAGCCCTCTCACCCCCTAAGTGTGTACTCACCTCTGACCCCCATCCTGAAAGTCAGGTTTCTGTCCACAGAATGGCGTCCTCAGGGGAGTGTACCCTGGCAGCCCCACGAGCTGGCTGGTGATTGTCATGGCAACAGTGGGGTCCTCCTATTGCAAGGTGGACATCTCCATGGGACTGGTCTGCCACATCCAGAAGTATATCCCTGATGGGTAAGGAGCAGGTTGGCAATGGACAGTTGTCCAGAAGGCTGGGTCCGTGCTCCCATGGTTGAGGTCAGGGAGCTCTAGGAGCACACACAGGAGAGCAGCCCCTCCCTCAGGCCATGGCTGGTTGTGTTCGATTCACTCAGAGGAGTGGTTCTAGGGAGCTCCTGTTCCTTCAGCGTCTCCTCTGAAACAGGCCACAACCACAGAGGGGCACCTCCCCTCTAGGGGCATTTCTGATCCCTGTCCTCCACACAGACTCAGCCCCTACCAGACCCCACAGGCCAAGGAGCTTCTCAGCATGGCCATCTTCTCCACCGGGGTCTGGGCCACCGGTGTCTTCTTCTTCCGCCAAACCCTGAAGCTGCTACTGTCCTACCATGGCTGGATGTTTGAGATTCATGGCAAGACCAGCTACGTCACCAGGATCTGGGCTGTGAGCAGGGGGACTACAGAGTGATGGGCTGGACAGAGTGGCCTGCATGGTGCTGGCGCCTGGAATGGGGATGCACCCTGGGGACAGGAGGACTGGGTTACCAAGGCCCCAGCTTCTCACATGTCCGTCCCTGGTTTGCTACCCCTTGGCTCTTGTGTCCAGGTCTGTGTCCGCCTGCTGTCCAGCCGGCGACCCATGCTATACAGTTTCCAGACATCTTTGCCCAAGCTCCCTGTGCCCAGCGTGGCTGCCACAATCCACAGGGTGAGACGCCAGGGCAGGGGTCAGGAATTAGACAGAGGACTTGCCCAAACTCAGGGATTAGTCCTGAGAAGAGCCAACTTGAGAGTCCCAGGCTGGGGGCCAGGTGGAGACCAGAAGCCTGAAGCCACCTCTGCTGGCCCCCCATGTGATGCTTTGTATGGCAGTACTTGGAGTCGGTGAGACCCTTGATGGGTGAGGAGGACTATAGCCGCATGGAGAAGCTGGCCAAGGAATTTCAGGACAACACGGCCCCCAGGCTGCAGAAGTACCTAGTGCTCAAGTCTTGGTGGGCAACCAACTATGTAAGTCTCTCACTGGGTGCTCTCTTCACCCACCTGGGACCCTACACCCCTGGCTCGTCACTGACTTCCCACTGACCCACAGGTGAGTGACTGGTGGGAAGAGTACATCTACCTGCGAGGCCGCAGCCCTCTCATGGTAAACAGCAACTACTATGCCATGGTGAGTGCTGCAGAAGCCGCCAGTGCTTGAGGGTGACCTAAGAGAGGAAGTGGAGGGGAGACCCTGTCCCTGCCTCTCAGGGGGTCCCAGGTCCCAGCCCACTCCTCCGTGTGATTCCTGAGCCCCGCTGTCCTCCTGGGTACCTCCGCCTGTGCCCCCTGTGCTGCCTCTCCCCTGAGTCTGTCCACCACCCCCCCCCACCTTGGCACCTGCCTGCCTTTTGTCCCTTTCACTTCCTGGACCTGGCACAGCCATCCTGCACCATAGGTTCAAGGCTCATCAGGTGTCCCTTATTCAAAGCAGAATGAAACGAGCATGGATGACAGACTCTGGGGCCAGAGCTTTTAGACCAGGGGAGGGCAGGACAGCGCTTTCTTTCTGGTGTCCTGGAAGCCTGTGGCAAGATGGACTGGGAGAGAACTCACCACTGGCCAGCTGGAGGGGCTCATTGGGTACTATCCTTGTAAATTCCATTCTTTCCCCAGGACTTTGTGCTGGTCAGGCCCACACAGGTGCAGGCTGCCCGCCTAGGGAACATCGTCCACGCCATGATCCTGTATCGCCGGAAGCTAGACCGGGAAGAGATCAAGCCTGTGAGTAGGGCAGGCTGGAGTGGGGCTGCTGGAGGGACTGTCCTGGAAATGGGCCTTCCTCACAGGTGATGGCCCTGGGGGTGGGGGAACCATGTGGAGCTGGGAGCTGCCTCCACAACTGATGCCCCTGGGGTGGAAGGGTCGTGTTGAGCTGAGGGTCTTCCTCACAGATGATGGCTCTGGGCATCGTGCCCATGTGCTCCTACCAGATGGAGAGAATGTTCAACACCACCCGAATCCCGTGCAAGGAGACAGGTGTCACCTCCCTGCTTGCTGTTACCTTAGATGTGGTGCCGGTGCTGGGATCTTTAGGGCTTGGCATAAAGCATCCCCCTGTCTTGGGTCTCTGTGCCCAGCCAGGGCAGGGGACTAACTGAGGGAGGTTATGGAGGCAGGGGTGGGTTCTGCCCAGGATCTGGCAGGCACAATACCCCTGTATCTGACACTGGCTACTTCAGGCAACTGGCTTCAATTCTGAGCTTCAGTTTCCTGTTCTGTGAAACACTTGGCAGAGTTAAGGGTGAGGGGTTGAGGGCACCTCCAGTGCCTGGCAAAGCTTGTGTGCCAGCCCGTGGAGGGGTGGAGCCCCGACTTAGCTCCTCACCTCCGCCCTAGACCAGCTGCAGCACCTCGGGGACAGCAGGCACGTGGCCGTCTACCACAAGGGCCGCTTCTTCAAGGTGTGGCTGTATGAGGGCACACAGCTGCTGAAACCCTGTGACCTGGAGCTGCAGTTCCAGAGGATCCTGGATGACACGTCGCCACCACAGTCTGGGGAGGAGAGGCTGGCTGCCCTCACAGCTGGTGGGAGGTACCACAGCCTGGTCACAAGGCCCTGCACCTTCACATTGACAGGCAGATCCTAGCCACAGCCCCAAAGGGTGCTGTGTTCTGTGCCCCTTGCGCATTGCCACCCTTGTGCCCCCAGGGTGGAGTGGGCCGAGGCTCGCCAAGCCTTCTTCAGCTGTGGCAAGAACAAGGCTGCCTTGGATGCTATCGAGCGGGCTGCATTTTTTGTGGCCCTGGATGAGGACTCCCACCACTATGACCCCGAGGATGAGGCCAGCCTCAGCCTCTATGGCAAGGCCCTACTCCACGGCCGCTGCTATGACAGGTGTGCCCCACTAGGTACCTGGCCCCTTGACATAACACATGTGTTGTCCCCTCCCCAAGCATGTGAGACTGCAGCTCCTACAACAGCTATGTGCCACCCAGTCCCTGTGCCTTGGCCCTTCCATAGTGCTGATACTGCAACAGCAGATTTATCACCCCTCCTCCAGTACCCTCTGCTCTCCCTTGACACCTACCCATGTTTCATCTGCTTCCCAGTCCTGCCAGCACCCTGACTTCCTTCACTCCCTTGGCCCCTCGGCTTCTTCCCACAGGTGGTTCGATAAGTCCTTCACTCTCATTTCCTTCAAGAACGGCTATATGGGTCTCAACACGGAACACGCGTGGGCTGATGCTCCGATCATAGGGCACCTTTGGGAGGTAGCAGCGGGCAGGCCCTAGGGGGCAGGTTGGTGATGGACATGGCTGGCTCCTTAGCTTGAACCCTCTCCCTCAGTTTGTACTGGGGACCGACGCCTTCCACCTTGGCTACACGGACAGTGGGCACTGCCTGGGGAAAGCAAACCCTGCACTAGCACCCCCTCAGCGGCTGCAATGGGATATTCCAGAGCAGGTGAGTTAGAGCCCCCCACAGATGCATAGGTTGGGAGGGGAGTTGGAAGACTTCTGTTGGTGGGTCTCCAGGAACAGGCAGGCCTCAACAGGGAGCTGGTAAGCCCAAGACTGACCAGTCTTGGAGGGCAAGAGCCCCAGGACCAGCAGGACCCACTGTCCTTCCCGTAGCTGCAGGTCCACATAGATCATCCTTCCACTTTGCTTTCACCCACCTATCCTTGATGTTGGAGTCCTGAAGATATGCAGCAGTCCCCTCTCCCATCACACCCTTGGTTTCTCTCAGTGCCAGGTGGCCATCGAACGCTCCTACCAGGTAGCCAAGGCCCTGGCTGACGACGTGGAGCTGTACTGTTTCCAGTTCCTATCCTTTGGCAAAGGCCTCATCAAGAAGTGCCGCACCAGCCCTGATGCCTTTGTGCAAATCGCCCTGCAGCTGGCCTACTTCCGGGTGAGCTTGGGCATGGGCATTGGGCAGTAGGTGCTAGTAGGTGCTAGTCCCTGCCTGAACCACCTCTCTGTACTCTTCAGGACAGGGGCAAGTTTTGCCTGACCTATGAGGCCTCAATGACCAGAATGTTCCGGGAGGGACGGACTGAGACTGTGCGATCCTGTACCAATGAGTCATCGGCCTTTGTACAGGCCATGATGGAGGGCCGTCACATGGTAAGGTCCCATCCTCTACCCAGCTTGTAAAGGTCAGGTCAAGTGCTGAGGGCACCCACCTCACCCAATCCCATTGGGGTCTAACCATGTAGTGAGGTCAGACACCTCTCCCATACCCACCTCCGGGGTCGGGACCTGTGATGAGTACACCCGCCTCACCCACCTCCACCTCCGGGGTCACGCCCTGTAGAAAGGACACCTTCCTCATCCACCCTCATCTCCGGGGTTGGGCCCTGTGATGCCCACCTCACCCACTCCCACCCCTGTGGTCAGGCCCCATGGTGAGGACACCCACCTCACCCACACCCACCCCTGGGCCCTGTGGAGAGGACACTCACTGTCTCGCCAGTTACTACTGGGGCCAGGGTCATGTATTGAGACACCCACACGCCAAGGCTGAGCCACCTAGAGAGGACACCCACCTCACTCACCCACCATCAGCATCAGAAACACATGCTGAGTGTCTAGTCCTTCCTGGAGTCCACCTTCACCTTCGTCTCCTGGTTCCTAGAAAGCAGGCCTCCAAGACCTCTTCCGAAAAGCATCTGAGAAGCACCAGCACATGTACCGCCTGGCCATGACGGGGGCTGGAATCGACAGGCACCTCTTCTGCCTTTACCTGGTTTCCAAGTACCTGGGGGTTGAATCCCCTTTCCTGGCTGAGGTCAGTGCCTTCTCTCTTCCTACCCTGGGAGACTGGGCCATCCTCCCAGAGCTCTCCATTCCTGGTCTGCACAGGCACCAGTGGGTCAAGGAAATAAATGGACATAACGTTTGTCATTGGAGACCATGTTACAAAGAATGGGGGAATCTTAGTCATCTGGTGCACCAAGTTCAGGATAGCGGCTACAGGGGAAAGTCCTCTTGCTCTGCGGTTGGGGGAAATCTGTTTCCTTTACCATCTGAGGGCTGGCATTTCTTCGTATCTGGGCACTTTGCTGTGCAGGTACCCTAACCCTAATGTGGAGATTGCTGCTTGGTACCGAGGTCTCCCTTCTGGGTTTGCTTTCCTCCCATATTATGTCTACTGAGAGAAAAGCTATTCCTGGCTGCGTCTTAGAACTCTGTAATGTCTGTCAGGCCTGTGATGGGAGTAAAGTGGGTTAGCTTCTACCCTTAGTCCTCATACAACTATTTGACTCATTAGGATCATTAAGAATCATTACCTAGCTTTCACATTGCATCATTGTGTACATGTATTTTGGGGGTACACAATTCAGTCCATGGCAGGGGCCATCAGAGAAGACTTCTTCCAGCAGTGTCCACGGTGAGGTGGAAGATGAGCAGTCAAGGCAGAAAAGAGTCAGTGTCACAGAGGCACCTGAGGAAAAGGAAGCTTGAGCGAGAGAGGCGGGGAGACGGAGGTGGAAGTTTGGGGAAAAGACGGAACACAAGGGGGGGGAGCGAAGGAAGGGCAGTGAGAGAGGAGGCTGGTGGAGGGGGCAAGAGCAGTGTGAGGAGCTTAGGCTGCACGTTCGCTCAGATGTGTGCTGAGTGCTGGGACCTTCCTGCTCAGGCACGGCCCATCACACAGGTGTACACACAGGAGGCTGCGTGGGGTCTGACAGGTGTATAACATGAGCCTTTATGGGGTTTGACTCCTGGGGCCTCCTTGCTTGGAAGCTACCTGTCACACGGGTGTATAAACGGGAGCCTGTGTAGGTCTGACTGCTGAGGCTTTTCTTGACAGGTGCTTTCAGAACCCTGGCGTCTCTCCACCAGCCAGATTCCTCAATATCAGATCCGAATGTTTGACCCTAACCAGTACCCCAATCACCTGGGTGCTGGAGGTGGTTTTGGCCCGGTAAGTGTTCTGGCTGGGGTGCAGGAGGGCAGGATGGGACAGAGGACAGTGAAGGGCATCCACAGTCAAGGGGGATTCGGACAGACCAGAGAACCCAAGCGATTCCCATACAGAGACAAGCAGACCTACCACCATGAGCTATAGCCCACAGCTGTGCTCACCTGGATGCAGCTCTTCCCCTCAAATGCCAGAGACCCCTGGAAGGAAGGAGGTGTCTTCTGACAGTGGTCAGGATGGATGGCAAGAAGAGAGTGCTTGAGTTTCCACCAAGCTCCTGGGGGCAGTCTTGATTATTTAGAGGGTGGGCACTTGCCCTGTCCCTGGGAGCAGAGCCTTCATGGCACCCATTGGGCTCTCAGGGTAAGAGCTAAGATTTGTCACCCCCTCTCCTCACTGCCACATTCCCCTCAGGTGGCAGACGATGGCTATGGGGTTTCCTATATGATCGCAGGCGAGAACACCATCTTCTTCCATGTTTCCAGCAAGTTCTCCAGCTCAGAAACAGTGAGTCTCCCATTTCCAGCCCTGGCCAGGAAGTACTCGTGCCTCAGAGACTCAGAGGCATGGCCTGACCAGCAGACAAACTGACCTCTCTGTCCATAGAATGCCCAGCGCTTCGGGAACCACATTCGCCAAGCTCTGCTGGACATTGCAGACCTTTTCCAAGCCCCCAAGTCTGTCCGCTGAGTCCTGGAGCTGTGGCCAACTGCCCTTTCATCCATGCACCATGAAGAGGAGGGGCCTATGGCTGGCTCGCGGCATACAGGGTGGGCGTGTGCAGTCCTGGGCTCTGGAGTATTGTCTGGCAGCAGGACCCTCCCAACCAGATGATGTTTCTAAGTACTTAAGTGCTAGAGATGGAAGTGGAGCCAGGATGAAATGTACCTTTTTCTCAGTAGATGTTAATAAAGATAAAGCTGTGTAAGTCTCTCTTAGCCATTAGGTACTTGTGTTTTGTTTGGGAACTATGCAGACCTTCCCTTGACCAGCTCAGCCTGAGAGCAGTTGAGAGAGGCAGGGTCTGGAAGGCAGTTGAGGTCAATAATATGATCACATAAAAGTGTGGAATCTGTTGCCAGCAGAACACAGAGAGTAGGTTGTGATTTTAGACCAGGTGCTCAGGGACTACCTGTCCACAACTGAAGATGAGAGAGCAGCCCACACAGATATCTGAAGGAAGAGCTCCCTCAGTGAGTGCCAAGGTGGGAGGAAATTATTATGATAGAGAGGCAGCAAGGGGGCCATGGGGGTAGGTAGGGATAGTCAGGGGACAGTGTCCAATGGAGGAGGGAGAGGGGTAGGGAGGTGCCATGGAGGAGGAGGTGGATGTGAGGAAGAGCCAAGGGAGAGGGAGAGGGAGAAGGGTTGGGGCAGAGCCAGGGAGGAGGGAATGGAGTGGGGAGGAGCCAAGGAGGAGGGCGTGGGGTGGGGAGGAGCCAGGGAGGAGGGAGTAGGGTGGGGCAGAGCCAGAGAGGAGGGAATGGGGTGGGGAGGAGCCAGGGAGGAGGGAATGGGGTGGGGAGGAGCCAGAGAGCAGGAAAGGTAGTGGGAGGAGCCAGGGAGGAGGAGTGGGGTGGAGAGGAACCAGGAAAGAAGGAGTGGGGTGAGGAGGAGCCAGGGAGGAAGGAGAAAATTCTGGTTGAATTCAGAAGAAGTCATGGAACAAAGAATATCTTTGCTCTTGTCAGATGGATCTTAGATGAAAGCAGAGGTTACCAGAAAGTTGTTTGATTGTATTTTATCAACAATGTAAAAGCATCCAATTCTGTGGATTATACTACATTATGAATGATGTTAAGAATGGCAATCCCAAAACACTTAATTTTGCTCGTGGGGAAACTAAGAAACAATCACTCAGAGCACACTGCCTGATTTAAAATCATACAAAGTGGATATCAGAGTTGTTGTTGTGGTTATGTTCCGTCAACTCACTTGCAACTCATAGTGAGCCCTACACTCCGCTCTGTCCTGTGCCAGTCGCACTGTCTCCGACACACCCATCCCACTACCCCAGTCACTGAATCAATCCGCTTCATAGAGGGCCTTCCCCTCATGCCCTGTCCCTCCACCCTACAAAGCATGATGTCCCTCTCCAAGGACTGGTCCCTCCTTACAACATGTCCAAAGTATGTTAGACGGAGCCTCAGAATCCTTGCCTCCAGGGAGCCGCCTGGATTAACCCTTTCCAGGATGAATCTGTTTGTTTTCCTAGCAGTCCATGGTACCCTCAATAGTCTTCTCCAGCACCACAGCTCAAAGGCATCAATTCTCCTTCTATCCTCCTTAGTCACTGTCCAACTCCCTGATGCATAACAAGTGATAGCAAAGACCATGGCCTGTATCAGATGCACCTTAGTCTCCAGAGAGATACTATTGCTCTTCAGTACTCTGGAGAGGTCCCTAACAGCAGACTTTGCCATTGCAATACGCCTTTAATTTCCTGGCTACTGGTGCCAAGAATGTTGACTGTCGAGTCAAGCAAACTGAAGCTGTGAACAATCTCAATCTCTTCACCATCCATCCTGATGCTGCCAATTGATCCAGTCATGAAAATCTTTGTCTTCTTGACATTGAGCCTCAATCCATATTGGAGGTTACAGTCCTTGACCCTCTGCAGCAAGCACTTCAGGTCCTCCTCAGTTTCAGCAAGCAGTGTTGTGTCATCTGCATAACACAGACTGTTGATGAATCTTCCACCAATCCTGACACCACACTTCTCCTCAGATAATCTGTTCTGCATAGAGGTTTGAAAAGGTATGGAGACAGGACACATCCCTGGCATACGCCCTTCGCAGTTTTGAACCATGCAGTGTTTCCTTGCTCTGTTCTGATGACTGCCTCTTGGTCCAAGTTTATGAGAGTACTATCTGAAAATAACCCGAGACTTTGGACTCTATGAAGAAGAATGCAGCATCAGGATTAGAGAATGACTCATCAATAATCTTAAACATGCAAACAACACAGTCTTGTTTGCAGAACGTGAAGACTTGAGGCTCTTTCTCAAGAAGTTCAAAGACTACAGCCTTCAGTATGGATTAATTACTTAAGCTGGAAACAACATAAGTGCCCATCAACAAACGAATGGATAGAGAAGCTGTGGTATATTCACACAATGGAATACTATGCTGCGTTGAAAAACAAGGAACTCATGCAATATTATTCAAAATGGGTGACTCTGGGGGACATTATGCTGAGTGAAGTATCTCAGTCACAAAAGGACAAATATTGCATGGTGCCAATGTTGTAAAACAGGACTGACCTTGGGGTGGGGAGAGACTGAGAAAGATGGATTTAATAATGTATACTGCATTGAAACAGATGAGGGATAAAATTGTTTAAGAGGGATATGTGATTAGGTATTTTTGTCATGACAGGAGTCCAGAGCAAAGGCTACATGGTGGAGTGGACCTGGGGGTGGGATTGTAAAACAATGAAAGAATTTTTCTTTTACTTTTCCAAGAGGGTACTGTACTAGGGGGGAGGGTTAGGAGGGGAGAAAAGTACAACAATGAATGAATGGAAATCCAAAGTCTCTGTAAATGTTTATTGAAATTAATAATAAATTTAAATTTTAAAAAAACACTAAAACAAAGACTACAGCCTTCAGTATGATTAATTACACCTGAGCACCAAGAAAACAAAAACAAACTCGATCAATATGACATCAAGTTAAATGGAGAAAAGATGTGTTCTCAAGAATCCGTTTTCATTGGATCCACCATCAACAATCAAGGAGGCAGCAGCTAAGAAATCAGGGTAGCCTTTTCATGAAGATAGTGCTAAAAGCAAAGAAGGAAGCCACTGAGCTTCCCAACACTGAAGCCAAAGCAAAGGCATTAAAGGCCAAGAGGGCCATCCTAAAGGGCATCCACAACCACCTTTCTGTGGCCGGAGACGCTGAGACTCAAAAGGCAGCAAAATACCTCTGCAAGAGGATGCCCAGGAGAAACAAGCTTGGCCACTATGCTGTCATCACGTTTCCCCTGACCACTGAGTCAGTCATGAAGAAGACAGAAGAAAACAAACAATGTACTTGTGTTTTTTTGGGATGTCAAGGCCAACAAGCACCAGGTCAAACAAGTTGTGAACACCTATGACATTGATGTGGCCAGGAACCACACCTTGATCTGGCCTGATGGAGAGAAGGCCTATGCTCTACTTGATCTTGACTATGATGCTTTGGATGTTGCCAACCAAGTTGGGATCATCTAACCCAAGTCTAGCTAGCTAATTCTAACATTTTCTTGGGGGAAAAAAAATCAGTGTGTTGTAATAGGCAGATTTTCTGCCAAGAACCTCTTTAAAGTGCTAACGAGCAAGGATCTTATTTTGAGAACTAATGCGCTCCTGTCCAAAGCCATGGATTTTCAGTTGCTTCACATGCATGTGAAAATTGGATAGTTAAGAAGGAAGACTGAAGAACTGATGCTTTTAGATTGTGATGGGACTGCCAGAGGAATGGAAAAAAGCCGTCTTGGAAAAAGTACAGCTAGAATACACCTTAGTAAGCAGCTAAAGACGATGACATGGAGCATGTTCTCAGAGGCCAGTCCCTGGAGAAGGACATCATGTGGAAAGTGAGTGAACAGAATACTTTGAATGCGATGGGCTGAGAGCAGTGACTGCAGTAAGGACCCTACACAGCACAGACTGTGAGGGCAGTGCAGGACCATGCAGTGTTTCCTCTGTGGTGCTACGCAAACAGGGTCCACAGATGGTTGTGTGGCAGCCAACGAAAAGGACATCTCAAGTAGCAGTGACAGTGTATCAGACTGTTAAAACATACAGATTGAGAGCTGAAAAAAACAATTGTATCACTGGTAATAAGTTTAAATCTTGGAGCAGGTAAGAATCGTGGGGAAGAGGCTCCATGTCCCAAGGTCCTGTGAGCACAGCTCTCTGGAAATAATTCTCACTTCTCCTGGGAGTCTCTGCTTTAAACACTTGCATTATAGGGGAGGAACCTGGGCCCCAGTAGACACCTGGGAACATCACTGACCTGGGAAATGGCTGACAGCTCACTTTTCATTAACACTGACATTCAGTCACTAGAGTTCTTGTTTCTGATTTGTTCTTGATAGAAATTAGTAAGAAGAGCTAGAATATATATGCACACCTGTGATGACAACCACCAGACCTCACACACACTCCATTGCCGTGGGTGCTTGGGTATCGGCACCAGTAATGGAGAAATCCTGGAATCTCACTGGCTTCACCCAACAGAAGCTTGATTCCACCTTAGATCACGTTGGATTCCTCTTGGCTTAGATGGGAGAATCCTCTTCTTGACTCTTCCCTAAGGAGGTGGACTGATGACAAGCCCTCTGACACCTTGCCCAGTGGCAGGACAAATAGATAGGAACACTGGTGGACGTTTTCATAGCCTAGCATAAAAGTGGTATACTACAGAGCCCCACCCACCCACAGTGCACATGCCACATACATGTGTGAATAGTCTGCTGTGTGCACAGCACAAAGAAGAACTTTGCCAAGCAGTAAGCCAGCAACACAGAGCACTGAGGCATGGTGAGAACCAAACCTCCACTGTTCATTCCTCTTGTAATACTACAAGTGAACAGCTTTGAAAAACAGATATTTTCCCCCCACATTTCAGCAGTCAGGCCTGAAGTTCTAGGAGAGGATTGGCCCTTGGCTATTTCAGCTTCTAAGTCTAATGGTAAGAAGCT